CTGGTAAGTGGCAGACCCTGTGCAGAACAGCTGAAGAGCCCTGTATCAGAACTTATATTTTATTATAGGACATATGGAAAATCAGAAACTGTCACAAAATAGGATATACATTTAACATAGTTTGGTTTTGAGGCTGTTTTCACATATTCTTCAGACATGTTTATATACTATAAAAAGCATAAACGGCAAAAGAGTGTTGATGCTAGCTAGCACTAGCAGTATTTAAATATTTGAAACATATTGCACAAAACCTTTCTCAATGGTTGTTTATGGAACTAAAAGAGAAGCTTTGAAAGGCCTGTCCTGAGAAGAGGTATAGATACAGGAAGATGGGGGAGATCTACTTTAAGGGTGTGTGTGTGGGGGGGGCAAATTGTTCCTCCAGGAGTTCCCCATCTCTGAAATAGAAAGTAACAAGCTTTTTGCCCTACTTTGGTAACACTTGCATCAGAACCCCATTTCATAAAAATTAATACATAGATGATGACATGAAAGGCTTAGAAGTCACACAAGGAATAATAAGAGCTTTATTGTTTCGCTTCATCAAAACCAAAAAAGAAACAGAAAAACACATTACTCCACCCAAATTTTACTAAGTCTAATGCCACCTGGTGACTAAGCAGTATACTGACACTATCCACACAACTGGTTAAGTACAAGAGTAAGAAACCTTTTCTTAGTTCCACTTGATGAATTATCTGACAGGATGTACCTCAGTGTTGGCAGGCTGCACAGCATAGGAACCTGGGGAAAATGGTGCCCTTTAATATTGTGTAAGGTTGATTTAACAAGCTGTGGAAAGACAAACATGAAGAGCTGACTGTTTCAGCTGGAACGAGACATTCCTGCAGGCAATTGCTTTTTGGTCATGTACAGAGGACAAGGTTCAGTGATATAACTCAGTTCACCTAACAGAAAGGAATTCCTCACAATAGTAGTAGAGGCAACCTACTCAAGCTTTGGGCATGAAAACATGCAGTCAAACCATTGCATACCCCAAGATGTCAGATGGCTACTTCTGAGCATAAAGTTCTGGCAGAGAATTCCACACTTGGGTGCAGCACTCTAAGAAGATTCCATTTTGATTTGTTCTGGCAGAGACATCCACCCTATTATGGCTGGTATTTGACCCTTTTATTTGGGTTTGTCTGGAAACATTGTCTAGACCTTGGGCTTAATGCCCATTGTTCCATTATGTCACTTGGTTCTGCTGGCTTGTTCACCCAAGCTGGCTCTTGGATCCTTTTTCTATTGGTGAAATCATTTCCCAAGCCACAGAACACAAAAGCTTCAACATTTTTCCTTAGAATAGCCAGCTCTGGCCACTTGAGCCCTCCCTCTGTTTAAATAGAGGTTGGGCAACTTGTAAGCTAATTTCCCCACTTCTCAGTCCTGTGCATGGACCTTTGTAGATCTTGAAATGATCTTCTGCCTCATATGTTAAATTTGCATAGGTCTTTCAGGTATATTACAATCTACTTAATTCCCTGTCGGAGTTCATATAGTACTTATTACTAACAAGCTATTTCCCAATGTAATTATTGTATATGTTTTGTATTCTTGTGGAACTCATAAAGCAACTCACTTTTAATTGGGCTCAGAAACAAATTGGAAATCAACAGAGTTATTGTAACAATTGGTCTAGGAACAATTATGTATTCTAGGCCAGTTGCAGAAGCCAAGCACTTTTCAATAGCAGTCCCACATAGAAACAGAGTGAGTCAAAAGGGGCCTCCCAGGCCATCTAGTTTGACCCCCAGCTCCAGCCAGCTCTGCTCACGACATGCCTCCCATGTGCAAGTCTAGCCTATCCTTGAACACCCTCACTGATGGGGCCTCAACCACCTCCCGTGGGAGCCCATTGCACACCCTCGGGGTCCTAACTGTCAGGAAGTACTTCCTGGCATCCAAATTGAAGCTTGGTTCCCTGAGCTTCGTTTCATTGGAGCGCATCCTGCCTTCCTCTGCAAGGGAGAACAGGTCTCTACCCAACTCCGTGTGACACTCCCTTACATACCTGTGTGTCACCAACAGATCCCCCCTGAGTCTCCTCTTCTCCAGGCTGGAGAGACCCAGTTCCCTCAGTCTCGTCTCATACAGCATCCCCTGCAAACCGGCCACCAACCTTGTGGCCCTACGCTGCACTGACTAACCTGGCTATATCCTTCCTGTAACAAGGGACCCAAAACTGAACACAATACTCCAGTTGCGGGTGCACCAGAGTTGTATAGAGTGGCAGTAATACCTCTCTCAATCTAGAAGCCACACTTCTGGCTATGCAACCAAGGGTGGCATTCGCCCTCTTGACCACTGCATCACACTGCTGACTCATGTTTAGCCTGCAGTCAACCAGCACCCCGAGGACCCTTTCACAAGTGCTGCTCTCCAGCCACTTGTCCCCATGAAGTACTTTACATTAATATAGCTGTTGTCAATGAGTTGCGCTGACCAGATCTTTCTTGCTCAAGTGTGAGTGTCCAGCATACCAGTCTTGGCTGAGGCATTTCTGGCCACTGTTGCCAGGCAGGCATATTGGAGTTGTGGGCATTTTTCCTGTCATTGTGCTCTAAACTGCAAACTTGAGCCACAAGGAAGGCACATCTATCCATAACATGCCTTAACTTACTGATACCACTATTCTGCCATTATCATTTCCTATCGGCTGCCATGAAGCCTTCATCCACTCCATCAGTGATCCTCAGCACTAGTTCAGGACTCCAACTTCTACTCAGGACTCAACACAAAGGGGAAGCAAAGCTGTCACCAACATGTGAAAGTCACCACATCCCAAATTCCAAAGGATTTTACCCTTTGGTTTCATGTTGCTATTCAGTAGAAACAGGGAAAAGACAAATCAGTGAAGTATCCTTGCAAGCCAGTGCTGTGGACAGAACAGCAGTCTCCAAGGATCATCTTAGAACCATCAGGTTGGCCTCAGTCTTAGTCATGCTTAAGATAAGATAGCTAATCATGATCAACTTAAGGCCTGTTGATTTCAGCAGCTCTATTCTCTTTCTAGAACTCTATTCTAACTTAAGTCCCGATCTAATCCGTAGCAAAGCAGTGTCACCTTCAATGGTCTCAACACAGCAACAGTCCAGAACAGCTTTCCTAAGTCTAGTTAGAGTACAACTCCCACAATCCCCAGTCAGGCATGCACACATACATCTTGAGGGCACCAGACTGGGGAAAGCTGGTCCAGGATATTATGGCAGATGGTATCTTACACTCCATTCTGGGCAATTTTGTGGCAGAAGGGTGAGAATATGTTAAGACTAACGATATTACTTTATAATTTCTGTGCTCACTTGCACTCAGCATATGGTGTATATTTTTTGAAGAAATCAGTGTTCATGATTTCAGTTTTCAGAAGACCCATTTCTTATTGTGGTGATTAGGGATCCCCTTCCTTTCCATTGTTGTGATCAAAGATCTCCCACGTACTCCTGTGTCCAGTCAGTTTGGAATTAATAGAAACAATTAGGGTAGGAGGTGCTCATCCTTCCCAAGCCCTCCTCATAGCTGCTAACCAGGATATCCAAGAGCAGAATGGTGCTGATGAGAACCATCACTTATATTTACTTGTTAATGATGCTATTAATTTTCTAAAAAGAATGACAAACAAGAACAAAATTCTAACTAGTTTGAATATAGTGATTTTAAGAGGACAGGACGTTTAACGTTCCCTCACTCCCATTATTTTACAGGCAAGAACGCTCTCAACTTCCCAGGTGACAAATACCACTCTGTTGCCCTCGGTATTCCCCATGTGCCCCATCTGCCCAAAGGCATGTAGCAGGGAAGAATGGGGCGCCCCGACCCTGAGAGTCACCCTTTCCATATTCATGGCTTAATTTTAAAGCCTGTTCAGAAAGCGCGTCTCCTGCAAAGCCCCTTGATCTCGACGGGTCTGGATTTGCTTCCAAGGGAGCCTGAAGCCCGAGCACCAGATATCGGGGCTCGGGCTTCAAGCTTATCGATGCTCCTCTGGCATCGAGCCCCACTGAACACAATGGGACTTGGTAAATCGGTGCACGGAACTGCGGTGAATTGCCATCAAAGCCCAGAAGCCTCTTTTCCTAACAGAGCGACTCCTTTCCGTTGCTGAAAAGACGACCCGCCACCGCAGGGGGCCACGGACGCGCCGGACCGCTAGTCGTCCTTCTTTTCTTTGACCCGCTTCCCGCGCTTCCCCTGCCCGAAATTCGTCCTTCTATGCGCGCGGAGCTGCCCCTCCCCACTTCGCTGATCAACTCCGGGATCTGGGCGGGAACGCGGGGAGGGGAGCATGGTGGCTTCCATTCCTCGCTTGATCCAGCAGGAGCAGGCTTCTTTCCGCGGTCGAGTTAAAGGCACTTTGTTTCCCTTCGGGATCCTGAAACAGAGCACGGGCGAGGGGCGGGCGTTGCTCGCTCGCTCGCTCCCTCGCTCGCTGCGCGGGGGCCGGGGTGCGGGGTGTGACCAGCTAGGTGCGGAGGTCTCGCCGCGCGCGATGGCATCTCGGTAGCGGATGGCTTTCCCCGGCGAGGGCACCGCGACGCGGAGACCCCCTCGGCAAGACCCGCAGGCCAGGTGGCTCGCGTCGCCGCGCCACCTCCTTCTCTGCTTTCCCGTCTCCTCTCCCCCCCCCTTTAAGGGGTGGGGGCCGCGCTGGCCTCCCGCGGCACCTGTGGGAGGGGAAGCGGGGCGGGGGCAGGGAAAGTTTGTCTCTGTGGTTGGCTGCGCGGCCGGGCAGAGAAGAGGGACGGCGGTAGCGGCGAGGCAGGCGACTCCCCCCGTCGCTCCCTGCGTCCGACCGGCTCCTAGGACAAGTCCGCCAGCCAGCGGAGAGCGAGCGAAAGCTGTTCGCTGGGCTCTCCGGCGCTCGGGCTGCTTTGCCCCGCCCCCTGTCGGAGGCTCCGCTCGGGCGAGGCGCCTCGGACGGACGGATCGACCCGCCGACCGACTCGGGGCTTCGGCGGGCGCTCGGCGCGCTTACCCCCGCACCCCCAGCCTTAGTTCTGGGCACAGCGGCATGGGTCCGCCAGGGAAGCAGGCGCCCTTTCTGCTCCTCCTCCCATTACTGTTTGGTGAGTCCTTGGACCGTGTGTGTGCGCGGTGGGGTGGGAGGGAGGCGGGGATGCGAGGGGTGGGATATCCGTGTAGCGTGGGGGACCTTAGCGGGAGTGCAGTGGTGTCGTGCGAGTAAAGTGGCGAGGACCCCGAACCACGGATGAGCTGCTTGCCCTTGGGAATGCTGCGCCCGGTAGGACTCTGTTCAAGCTGGTCTGGGAGAGGTGGGCGATTGCTAAAAAAAAGGGGAGGGGGTGTCAGGCTTGCTTGAGAGCCATGTTGTTTTCCCGGGAAGCCTTGCTCGTTAATCCCAACAGTGTCAGGATAAGTTCTTAAGTGGTGTGGGTGAGGGTGAAGGCGCTCTTCCCATGCTTAGGAACCCAATTTCTTTTTATTCAGTATGTAGACCAGGGTCTAGCTAATCCTTCAGAGGCGCACCCGGCCCACCTTAAGCCCCAGGTGTGTGTTTTTGACAGATGATCCATTAAGTGGAGCAGGCACCCGTACACTTTGGCAGAAACAAGACCTTTTGACCTAGTGTTTAAGGTGGTATTATCAACTTCCTCTGGATTTCAGAATCACTAATGTGGCTCCAACTCTTCACTTTATAAGTATGTATTAGAATCTTTGGGGAGAAACCCCTTGTATTTCTCTTTATCTCTCAGCCATAGTAGAAATAACTGATCTGTGTTGATTTCCTGCCATCGTCTAGTCTTAGGAGCACTATAGCTTTCTTCTCAGCCTATTCACTGACGATCAGTAACGCATGTTCAAATTTGGGTCCTAAAGTCGTATAAGGAGTGTGGCTTTAGTAACTGCCCTCTCCCTTTAAGGTGTGGGTGCTTTTCAATACTGTAAACTCTGCAGTAATGCTCTTGTGCTTTAATGCTTCGAAAACAGCATCTTCTTTCATTGTTCATGCACTGTGCTTTAATGAAACCTTCTACAGTTTCTGCCAGTACATTTTTATTTAGTTCTTTGTTTTTGGAAGCTGCTCTGGCAAGTGTATCCAGCAGTTGTTTTCACTTCATAGTTCTTTCTCTGACATCTAGATTAATGAAAAATGTAAGCTTCTACTAGAATCTGCCAAGGTAGCTTTGTAGAATTAAAATGCTAGCATAGGACTAAATTTAATTTCATGCGTACTTTGGTGGTCTTTTAGTATCTAGAGGTGTTTTTAATTTTAGGTTTGTTAGTTTGTGTTCTTAATATACCATTCTAATTAATGAATAGCACATTTATAGTTGCTAAAAGTCTGTAGACTGTGTGGAACAGCTGTCCTGGTGTGGGTTCCGGTGCTAGACAAGAAGAGATCTATACTTGGGTTTTGATCTCTAGTGCTTGAGGCACTTTGTAACAACACATTTTAAAATAAGAGGTATGTGTGAGAGTGAATAAACCTAAAAAATGTGCAGGAAGGATTTCATAACATGTGGAAATGCTATTTCAGAGGGTGTGTACTTAACCTGTATCCATCATAAATGTTTTTAAATCTTACAAGACAGTTTCCATTTTTACTATTAAGAGATTAATAATTTTATTGGCTTAAGCAAAGGGTAATGGGAATTCATGCCTTGGGTCATATAATGGAGTGACTTTTGCTCCTAAGCCTTACAATTATCTAAAGTCATTCCTGGGCTGCTTTGATCTTCATCAGTTCTAAGATATTAGGTAGTTTCATATGCAAGATCCTGGATTTAATATTATGTGGATAGGCCATGTTCCTTGCTCATGTTATCTTGGAGGTGAATAATTTAATTAATTCGTTCGCTCACTGAATTTAGTGGAGCTTTGTACTGATAGCACAAAAAGAAAAGTTTTGTTCTTTGTCAAACATGGTTTGAGGTACACTTAGCAGTGGCAGACTGGTTCATTTAGTCAGATTTGCCTGAATTACATATAATCAACGAGGTAGTTCCCCAATTTTTAGAGCAAAAGGGCTCATGGATGCGTGTGCAAATGCCTCCCTGTAATCTCTCCTCCAGTGTCACTTTTCCTGTCTGCTACTGAGGCTAAGTGAACTAAGCCCTGTGAAATACCAGCAGAAGGGAGGAAGGGAGGGATGGGAGGCAGACTCTACAAGGGGGTAAACAGTGGGCACCATAGGAGTCAGTTCTTTTAACCTGCATGCCCCTCTAGCTGTAAAAATTAATCTATACTGCTGCATTATGCACAGACAGATATAAAAATGAGCCTGCTACCACCATCAAATGGAATTTTCACCTGAAAAAGCCATTCTAATACAGCTGTTTTTTGCATGTGTACTTCTCTGTGTGCGGTGTGGTACTGCCCGGAATGCTTAAGAGAAATCACTTCCTTTAAAAGTGCCCTCATGATTAAAATTTCCTACATGTAGACATCTAAAATATCAGGGAAGAAGTGATAGACATTTAAAAAAAATCTTTCTCTCATTCTTGTGTTTAAGTGCTCAGTCCTAATGAAGAACAAGTTCATAGGGAGTTCAAGACTTGTTCCCTCATGTGTGTTTAGGATTACAGCCTTTAAAATGTTCAGAATAGGTAGATAGGACCTGGGCCTATGAAAGTGAGTAAAACAGATAAAGTTTAGGGTTATTCATTATATGTGTACATGTGAAGTCATGATGCCTTATATAATTAGTTAAATGATCAGAGGTCTTGCCTATTATGTTATAAATAATCCCCTAGCTACATATTTACCGGCTTGGGTAAGTATAGAAGGATGTGTGACATTCTTGCTGGCTTCAGAAATGCTCATCTCCCAACCGATTTCACATGGAAACAAGTGGAGCACATGCCCAGGGAGCGGTGGGCTTTACCTGCCATGACCTCTGTGGATCTTTAATGCTATCTAGTCACCACATTTTGATAGCATGGGAAGAACTGAAAAATCAGACAACCCGCAATAAGACAGATTTTGCAAATCTGTATGGAAAGCCAACTTGCAGGTTCTTGTTCTTAGGACTTGCATGTATTTAATCTGTAACCAGAGAAAATGTCAGGCTTTTTAGTCCTAATTAAGATAAGTAGTTCAATTTAATTAAAAGAGCAGCAGCTTTCTTTTGGTGGGAAAGGGCTTGAGGGAAGCAGGTGACTCATGTTATACCTCAGTTAAAACATTCCTAATCAACTTGCAAGATCCCCAGGTAATCAATATTTGTCTTCCATGCTTCAGAGGTCCTTGCATTACTTTTTCTGCCTAATCTCCAGCTTCTGGCTGGCATTAGGAATCTCTCAGAGAGCTTCATTTCCTCTCCATTGTTGTTTGTCATGACTTGTATTTCCAGCTGTTTGATTTCTTTGGTACTACAACAGTTAGTAATTTGAATCAAGGTTTAATTCAAACCCTGCAGTTAAAGGCTTCCAGTAATTAGTTGCTTGTCTGCTTATAATCATGAACCTCACAAAACAGTGCCCTTTACAATGCAATTATGGTAAAAAGACAAAACAACATTAGACATGCTATTTGAAGATCAATAATAGAAGTGAATGAACAAAGGAAGAATATGGGGAAATCCTGGTGATTGAACAGATTGGACTGGAATAAACCAGTACTGAGTTACCTGTTTGTTTTTTAATTGCTGGCAATTTGATATACTTTTTCCTTCCTGTCTCTGCAATAGATAAAGTAATTTCTACTTTGTCATAAGACACTCTTAAAGGTGAAATTTGTCCAGTTCAGTACATACACACATGCTGCACAAGACAGTTCTACTTGTGGTCTCCGCCTTCTCTGTGGCCAAATCTTTGCTCTTTTTATTCTCCTTAGTCCCACATTTTGGAAGTATTCCAACGCTCTGTGACTAAATGGTACAGCTATTCTCCCCTCTAGTGTCTCCCTTTATAGCAATTGATTTGGCTATCTGAGGGGCCACCTGTCTCCTTATGTGTGTGCTCTGCAGTGAAGACCCTCTTGAAGGTACATTACTCTCAGGGCCTGTTTGTCAAGCATGTGTGAAAGGGCTTTCTTTTCTAGAATGTTCTACAAGAACTAAGATGACTACCATTATGTCCCCATTTTCTGAAGGACTGCCTACACCTGTAAGTTCCTGCTTAATCAGTGCTTAGTGGCCCAACAGCAGGAACTATTAGACTGGTTAGAAATATGGCTTTCTTTGTAGTGGCTCCATATGGCATTTCCTCTTCAGTGAGATATTTATGGCTATGTCCCTGTTGACATTTAATATAACCTGGAGATTCATTTTTTCCAGTCTGCGTTTGGTGCTTAAAAATAATGAGCTGCTACTGCTACTGCCTTTGTGTTTAATTATCATTTTATCTTAATGTTTTTGTTGTGTTGTAAGCTACCTTATCAGAGCAGTGCATTCTGAATGATGGATTAAAAATCTCCCAAATAATAATGATAGTGATGATGATGGACAGCCAACATAGCAGCTAAACTGTAATGTATGAAGTGTTCTGTGCCAAGTTCGGGATTGTCTAGTTCCTGGCCAGGATCCAAAGAGCCACCACACAGTAATACTGTACATTCTAAGGATATTCATTCTCATGTGTGCTTTTTAAACTGGGAAGATTTAAAAAACAGGAATAACAACAACACAGAGAATGCGATACAGCTTAAGGTCTGATGTTTGAAACAGAAACGTTCTACGGAGCATGTCCAGGTCTTTGGATATGCTCAAACTAGCTTTGTGAATCCCAGCCATTGTCAACAAGTAAACACAAAAAGGACACACAAAAAGGATTTACGAGCAATGAGCATATCTAACACTGCAGCTAATGTGAATTATATTAGCAGTTGATGATGAGCTGGATTTTCCTGGAAAACCTCTTGCATTGTGCTAGAGGTTGTTTACATTACTGTTACACAGTATATAGTGGTGTTGCACTGGTTGTTGCTCATTTTAATAACTAGTATTATCAACCCTTTGAGAATAAAATGTGTAGTGCTTGACTTCATAAGCAGCAATTTAACCCACGTTTGGTGTTGAGGCATCTGAGGGTCAAACAATATTTTGGGAGTGAGAAAGTTGACTGCTTTGGGCACATGTTCTCATGGACTGCTGACTGCAGTTCAG